GTACTTCATCTTCAGAAATCGAAATCTATTCTATCAACTCTCCACCACTCCGGACTACTACTCACCAGATATAATCTTCGGACGCCACGTGTTGAATAAGACGAGGACATATCCGCTCGATTTTAAGCGAGTGCAGTGGAATCAAGGAGCCTGCGCATTCTTCAGGCCATACTCCAACTAGCCAGCGTGCACTATCAAACATACCGGACTCTGGAGCCTACACTGTCGCCAGACCTTCCCATTTGCTCCATCTCGTCATAAAGCAGTCTCCAGACCTGTCCGGGATTTTCCTGGCCTGAGGTGATCATGGCAGAATCCATCACACAAGACTTCAGCCAGATTGGTCTTGGGGAAGAGTCAGCTGACGGCAAGATGCCCACCCCAAGGGCTGAGCTCGAAGCTACTATCCAAGAGCTAGTGGCGCGCGGCAACCATCTCAACGACGAGGTCGAGACGTACATTGCGGCAGTCCTTGAGAAGCAAAAGGTTGGGAAGGTTTACAATCCAGTTGAGTACGTCTATACGATTGCAATCATATAATCATCTAAACGAAGGCTCCCGACTTCCCAGATTAAACCTCATATGACCCTGGAGGTGTTTGCGGTGGGTTTGCTTTCACATTCACAGTATACAACATAGCGTATACCTCTAGGGGAGGTTCTTCTGAGAAGGGGTGAGCTGCTTCGTGATTAGATTGGCAGCCTCAGACCATGACTAACTGTACTAGATATCGGAATCTTCGGAATGACATGCGCAACGAGCTAGCCTTCCTACAGAAGATCGCAGGGTCGTCAATGGATGAGGAGAAGGCCCGACACTACATTGTGTCCTCAAATCTTCTCTACTACGAGGCACTGTGGGGCGCAGCAAAGCGCTCAATGGGAATCCAAAGCTTTCGCAAATACTTCTTCTGGGACCGGCACAAAGCACCCGCAGGAAAGAGCACAACAAAGGGGGTCAGCCTGGCGAAAGGAAGCCAAGCCAAGAACAAGACTTCCGCGCTCGTCGACATCGTTGCAGAAGAGGGTGCAGAGTGGATACGAGTATCAACCGTCTCGGAAAAGCGTATTCTCTTCGATCTTGCGAAGTTGGGTTGGGTCAACGACTCGGACTCTGAAGATGACGAAGATATGCCGCCTCCGCCGGAAGACGACGATGACGACGAAGACCAAATCGACGTGGTGCGAAACGCGCGAGGTCTTGCAAGAGCTGCGCGTGCAAACCCTATTCGCGGTCGACCGCCCAAGGTGCGGTTCGTCCTAACGCGAATCTCGGCTGGGAAAACACCAGCTATCGATATGATTATCAACAAGATACGCGCTACGGGTGCGATAGTACAATGCGGAGACGGCATTCCACCCGCGCTCTCCATAGACGCTGTTCTACCTTGCCTACTTATTGATCGATCCCGAGCTTTGAGCGACACATTGAACATCGATTGCACCATTCTACTCGCCCTTATTTCTGATATCTCCCACAAGCCTTGCCCAATACTGGATTGGTATCCGGGCGAAGTACGCGCCCAGATCGAAGAGGAGGCCCAAGAGCATCTGCTACCGACCCATCTATACCCTGCCATCGGCGCACATCCCATGGTGTGCACGCGCGAAGCAGCCGAGCAGATGAATCTGATAGTGCAGACTCTGGCAACTGATACAGAGAAGACAAGAGCGGATCTACTTCTCCGACAAGGTGACTGCGAGTCGTGGTCACAAGAGAAGCTTGTTGAAGAATGGGTACGTACTCTCATACATCTTCACATGATCCAAAGCTAACATGCCCACCAGGCCGCGCTCTCCGACTACCCCGTCCCTCCCAACTTCGCCCTCCCCATCACCGCCAAAACCCCCAACGTCGACACCATAACCGACAGCCTCCCCAGCGCCGCCACCGCCGTCGCCGCCGAACTCGGCCACCTCAATAAATCCATCTTCCTCTACGGTTGGGCCGAGAGCCTCACTACCCTGAGCGCCAATCGCGGTCGCGCAAAACAGATTGAGCATATCATCAATGAACATGGGCTTAAGGACGGCGAGGCAGGGCCGCATATCTGGCTGTGTGGTGAGTCGAGGAGCTTGATTGCGAAACATGGGAGGAGGAAGTAGGTGGTGATGTAGAGCGGCGGCTGAGTACTGAGAGCAGGTGCGACGCGCGCGTTTCGCAAGCCGAAGCCGGGAAAGGGCACGTCGGAGGAGATGGAACAATGGCGATGTGGATCGAGAGGTGTTGAATAAACAGTTGCTGCGATTGCGTCCAGGCTACGTCACAAACCATACACCTTGGATGTATTCGCCTCGGCCGGCTGCTAGAATTCGAACATCACGTTCAGACGCAAAGATAGATAGTAGGTCCTTTACGCGCGCCAAAATCGTATGTCTTGGTTGATGTTGCTCAGGTGTCTATTTGGCGGGTACATGGGCTGTTCCTTCCGTTTTGGGTTAGGTCTGTGCTGCGGCGTCGCATCAACATTGATTAACAGGGGGCAGCCGCGATCACTCAACTTTTCTTACAGATCCATCGTCGTCCCTTTTTGACAACAGCAACGTGAATACGACCAGAAGACATGGACGCTATAATTGAGGGTAAACAAAATGGGCCTCCCCCAGTCCTCGGGTTTCCTTATTACTACTTACTTATTTGTCCGGAGCTCGATCAATACCATACACTCTGCAAATACAAAGACGACACCCCGAAGTTATTTGAGCGGAAAGACGAGTACTGGTTTTACAATATGTTTGTGAACCCACGGCCCCAGCACTACTATCCACCCAGTGGAGACCTCTTCGAGCGCCTGCCAAACGAGATCATTGACCAGATTTTCGATTACATCCTACTTCGCGAAGAGGTTGACTGGGAAGCACTTGGCTATGAACGCTGGCATAGCCGCCCCTCAGTGGAAGAGTTCAATCGAGAAGACTTCGTCGCATTATCCCTCTCGTCTGCTCGTCTGTGGCCACTCGCCTTAGCCCGTATACACTGGACCTATCAGAAAACAAACTGGGTAGGCAAGAAAGTTGAGTTCCACCATGAGGATTCAAAGCTCACCGCCGATCAAATGCGGAACTATGGTGTCGAAGACACGCCTGTCTTGATCAATGGACGTCAGGAAATGAGGTCGCAGCAAAGTGTCAAAGATCGGAGATGGGACCAATTCAGGTGCCGACCGCCGTATGATTGGTGCTCTCTCATGGAGCCCATGCGTGGATACCAACCCGGACGAGGATTGAAGATGGCAAAATATGAGCTGACGTTAAGACCGGGGGATCGGGACAAGATCGAGCGAGATCTTGGTCGGTTCGATCGTTTCAATCTACGAGACACACAGAGAGAGTGGGTGCTTCGCAACATCACTACTAGACAATACGTACGCTCGGATCAGTTGCAAGAGCCAACCTGTCCAGCACCAGATTGGGACTCACTACCCAAGTTCCACGAGCCAGTAATTCCCAGGATGCAACGAATCTACCGCGAGCTGTCGGAACAAGTGAAAAAAGTTCCGAAGAACAAATCGCGACCACTACCGGAGAGCGACCAAGCGCTGACATTGGCGAACATATTCTTAGTTCTCACGTGTAGTAACCCAGATTGTCCCAACCCAGGACAAGCCTTCAACTTCTCAAATGGCCCCTGGGCTGGGTGCGCATTTGAAGTTGTTTCACTGGACGACCATCTGCAATCTCAGCAACGACAGTCAGAGTCAGAAGAAGAACCAGGCGAGGCATGGGTAAACGTCAGTAACGAAGTAGTTGCGGATGTCGCCAACTTGCGTTTTTGTATTCGCAGGTTGCAGGAGATGAAGCATCAGGGCCACGAGCGATATTTCCGCAGCCACAACCCAGCAGTCAACAAAGCATACTGGGATAACTTCTGGAACAAGGTCGAGATGACAAGAAAGCTGCATCGGCAGTGGGTGAAGACATGTCCGCCTAGGCCTTGGATAGACGAGAGCATGTATGCGGAAACGTAGTCAGTCGAAGTGACCGGAACAATCCCACCTTCACCTTCACCTCACTTCAATACAACACAATAGGAAGGAGATGCTTCTATCCACGCCCATCGTAGTCTGCAAAGCTATTGTACACTTCTATTCTGCTAGTTCTATTGTCACTCCTGTTATCCTCCAGAGTATCAAAACCTCGCCGTCCTCTCTTCAAAACCACCCCCAGACACCTACAACACCTTCCACCCCCTCATATCTTCCACCCCAAAAGTCTTGACATCCTCCTCGCACCCCTAAAACCCACCTCTCCACCACCCAAAAGTAGCTGGACTACTTCCGCGCCTCCCTCACTCCTCCACAATGAGCCCCCACTCGCGCCTTTGTCGCCGCCTAACCTGGCACCTCTGCCGCGCGCGCCGCCAGCTCGAGCGCCGCACAAACGGCCCACCAGCCATGCGAACGCGAAGCCGCCTTGCCGCCACCTCTTCACCAACACAACTCGCACCCGCAACACCACTTACCCTCGGCGGTGAAACCGGCACCCTCACCAAAAAGCCCTCCACCAAGAAACAACTCCTCGCAAGCTCAAAGCGGCTCGGCAGAAAAAGACTAGCGCTAAAGCGGGTTCTGGAGAAGAAGAAGAAAGATATGGAGAAGAAGGGGAAGAGGACGTTTGGGATGGGACAGCGGATTAGGCTGTTGAGTGTGCTTGGTCCGGCTGGGGAGTTGGAAGAAGGGGGGAGGAGGTTGGTGCCTGCGCAGCGGAAGGTTATGACTGTGGAGGAGATGAGGGTGAAGAGGGAGGGGAAGAGGGTGGGGAGGAGTCCGTTGGGGGAGATGTTGTGAGGGGGGGTGCGTAGAGGGTAGGGTGGAGGGGGGATGTCGGCTTCAGGGGATGGTTTGGGGGGATGGTTGGAGCGCTGGGCGGTTGATGTATTCGTTAAAGGTATATTTGGTAAGATGATTGCAGCGCTGGTCGCTCCATGTATTCCTCAAACGTACATGTACTTCGACAACAGAAGCGCTAGTCACTTCACATTGTCTCCCGGCTCCCTCCTATCTACAAGTTCAACAACACACTCGCCAACCCCATCCCAACACCCCACGCCGCACCAACACCCAAACTCCGCTTCTGCGCCTTACCCGTATACTCCGGCATACCGGCCCCAGCACCAAAGTCATACTCGAAGCTTCCATTGAGCGCAACAGGGCCCTGAACACTTCTTCCAGTACCAAGAATAGTAATATTCTTAACCACACACTCTGTCTCGTATCCAAACTCACCGTTCATGCTGAACTTGCCGTTGTCGTAGGAGAACGTGATCATGGACGTAGACGGCTGCTCGATGCTATCGCCGTCGTCGAGGTACAGCGAGCCCGAAGCCTGATTCGTAGCGTTCGGCGCGATCCACAAGACAAAGTCCTGCTTCCGCAGCTCGGTCGTCGTGTTTGCGGATTCAGCGCGCAGAGGCAGGATGGAGCCGCCGCGGACATGGAGGGGGATAGAGTCGAAACCGATGTCGGTCAGATCGATCATGCTTCCGTTTCCTTGGATGCGCTCGCCGGTCCAGTAGTCGTAGAAGACTTCGTTGGGGAGGTAGATGGATACACTGGTGGAGTTTTCCTCCAGCACGGGCGACACGAGGATGGCGTCGCCGTAGAAGAACTGGTATTCGAGGGCGAAGGTGTTGGGGTCGGTGGGGTAGTGGAACCACAGCGGGTTCAAGCTGGGTTCTCCGGTGGTGGTCTGGCGGTGGAAGGCTGTGTAGAAGTAGTCGAGTAGACGGTAGCGGACGGCGATGGCGTTCTTGGCTGCGGCGGTGGTCAGGGGCCAGCGGTAGTACTCTTGGTCGATTGATGTGTCGCCAGCGTGGTTCCTCATGAAGGGGTAGAAGGCACCGAGGGTTGCCCAGCGTGCGCAGAGTGTCTCGGTGGTGTTGCCGGCGAAACCGCAGATGTCAGGACCGACCATGGGTATCTGGAAGATGGAGTTGAAGTTGAGGATGCCGGCGATGGAGAAGCGGTATTGCGTCCATTCCGAGACGTTATCACCGAGCCACTTTCCGAGGTAGGTACCCAGACCGACGAACTAGAAATCTTGTTAGTTATAGTTCAAAATGATGACACGTGAAGACTTACAGTAGAGCGAGTGATGATCAAAGGACGACGTTCAGGACGGCGCGCAAGCATGCTCTTGTGCGAAGCAATCGACATCATCGAGCCCCAGAAGTTGTGGGTATCATAGTGGTATGTTCCGTCGTAGTTCTGGATGTCGGTGTCGAGGGTCTTGTTGCTGATGGAGCCAGCAGCGTTAGCGATCTGGTACTCCGGGTTGATCAGGTCACGACCGGGAAGACCGGGGTGCGCGGCAAGGTCTTCGGTGTTGTTGGAGGCTTGACGCTTGAAGTTGGAGCGCTTGCTGAGAGGGGAGCTTGAGCGGGTCTTCAGCGTGGAGTTGGACTGCGGCTGGAGTCCCGCAGGGAAGCCAGGGATCTGACGGCCGTCGGCAGAGGTGCGGACTGGCGGTGGCTCAGGCGGGTTCTTGGACTCCTCTGAGTAGGCTACAGGATCTTCGCAAGGGTACGGGCAGAAGTTGGCAGGCTCGTTCATGTCGTTCCACAGACCGTCGATATCAACACCGGTCGCAGGGTCGAAGAACTCGGCAAACTTCTGGTCCCAGTACTGCTGGGTGTTGGGGTGGAACCAGTCGGGGAAGACAGTTGGGCCGGGCCAGACAGCGCCTTCGAAGAAAGAGCCATTCTCGCGCTTCTGGAAAACATCGAGCTCGGCACCGTCATTGTAGCCATCGTAGTCACCGCTCCAGACAGCCGAGTTGACCATCATGATGTAGTGCTGCTGGTGGGCATGGAGGTAGTCAACCACCTCGCGGACCAGTTCAAGAGGGTAACGCTCTGGATCCAGAGTGAACAGGCGACGGAGCTCCATGTAGTCGATGTCGGTCCACATGGTCTGGCAATGTTAGTAAAGATATATGGACGCCTTACATAATGGCAGAACTCACCTCAAGAGGAATGTCGGCAGCGGAGTAGTTGGCAACTACCTCAGCAACTTGCCAAACATCACGGTAACCGTATTTGCATTGATGAGATCCGAAACCCCAGTAAGGCATCATAGCGGGAAGACCAGAGAGAGCAGAGTACTGGACTGCGACTTCCTTCGGTCCAGGACCAGCAAGGAAGTAGAAGTCAAGAACACCACCTAGAGTGTTGTACTCAAGGAACTGGCCCTGGGAGTCGTCGATCTTGATGTCCATACCCTGGGAGCTGGCCAAGAAGACACCGTGAGTGCCGTTCTCGCCGCGGTGATCAAAGTAGATGGGGTGAGCTCCGTAGAGGTTGGAACCCTCTGGGGTACCGTAGGCATCACGGTTCCAGAGAGTGCGGGTGTAGTTGGTGGTGTTCAGATGGAAATGGTCAGTCGATTCACCAAGACCGTATAGGTTGGGCGAAGGAGGCAGAGCAGTCCTGAGACGAAGGTACTGCGACTCAAAGACGAGCGATGCAGCGGAGGTGTCGAAGAGAGTCTCATTGGTCTCCTTGCGCTTGATGGCGAACGAGAACGGGCTGTCGGTCCATGTGAATGACAGGGCAGAGTCCTCGGGGCTGACACCCTCATCATCGGAAGGACGAGGCCAGACAGATTCTTGGATCTGGAAGACTTGCTCTTCAGCATCGAAGATCTTGACGTGGAGGCGTTCGGCTGTGAGATTGGTTAGCACTAGGAACGATTGTAATGATTGAAGAACGCACCAGTCTGGTACTCGACTTCAAGCTTGAGGTCAGTCAAGTCTTCGCCGTAGACATTGCAAGCGGTGCCCGCAAGCGTAAGGTCCGCGGTAACCTTGGAGCCATTATCCTGAAGGTTGCTGGCAGTGTACCCAGGGCAAGCTTCAAGTGATGAGCTTTGGCGTTGAACCAGCGAACTTGCAAACGCAGGTACCGCCACCCCAAGAGCGAAAAGGCCTTTGGTGATCATGGTGCCTGAAGGTATTGAGAAAGCCAGGACCGTGTTGGATGCTGATCGTCCGAGGGAACCTTCGCCTTCTTATACTCGAGGGCGTGCAGCCGTGTGTACTAGTCTGATGCACTACAACAACAAAGCACGCATCGTGATCTCGGTTCAGACTTACCGTTTGCATGGCTAGGATAGGCGGATATGCACCCAAGGCGCGCTCCCCCGCAGTACCGTCATCATGGAGGTCGGACTTGCATGGCTTGGCAACGATGCGAGGGCCAGAGAGGCAACATAGCGGGGTCATTGGTTCCGTAGATTCACACTGTGGAGAGCTTGTTTACCCGGAGAGAATCCCGTTTGGGGTTCGGCTGGCATGGAGGACATACGAGGCGCAAAACTCTGGGGTAAACGATTAGTTGTGTTTACGCGGGTGCGAGGCGCGACGCACGGCGGTTACTCTGATTCGATGGAAGTCGGGAGTGCGAGATGCCGGTCCGAGTTCTCGTGCCGGCGTGCCTTTGCGCTTCCATCGCCAAGCAGACGGCTGGAGAAAGCCAAGACAATGCTAAACTTGGTGACATGTCGTGAGTATTGAGTCCAGACGTCGAGGTCCATGAGGACTTCTGCATGTATTTCCCGACTTCGAGCAGCGCGATACCGAACTTACTGGCTAGCGGACGAACTTGTACGAGGTGAGCATGTCGGACCGGACGTGTGGTCTCTGCTACTGCATGATAAGTTTAATCGGGAAGAACCACACGAGCAGATGTAGTTGTAGCACATCCCGTTGAAGATACCTGAAATGCTTCATTGCGGGTACGTAGATGGTGGGAGTGGCAGGCCGCATTTCTCGAGCCATACGTCTGATCCGTCCTGTAAGAGCAACTCGTTCTAGGCACAAGGCGGCAACACGGAGCACGCGAACCTCTTGTACGGGAGATCAGCTTCAAAGGACTATATCACAAACCATACTTGAAGATGTAGACACCACTGTAGATTATCACCTACACACACAAAAGCATGGCCATGTAGACTTCCAACAAGTGTTTGGGGTGGATGTTCCTGAGATATCTGGACCATCTACGCGCACGGACGGAGACTAGCGCGCCTCTGGCCCAAGACCGAAAAGTTCACGAGCGCGACAGCAACAACCTCCAACACCACTCCACGTCACCATGCTTTGCGCAATCTCTGGCGAAGCTCCCCGCGAACCCGTTGCCTCGCGTAAATCGGGCAACGTCTTCGAAAAGCGCCTGATCGAGGCGCACATCTCGGAACACCACACCGACCCCGTTACTGGCGAAGACCTCGCGACCGAGGACCTCATCGAGCTCAAGTCGCCCAATGTCGTTACCCCACGCGCCCCCAGCTTCACCTCGATACCCGCCATGCTCAGCGCCTTCCAGAATGAGTGGGATGCCCTGGTACTAGAGACACACACGCTCAAGCAGCACTTGGCGCAAACGAGGCAGGAGCTGAGTACGGCCCTCTACCAGAACGACGCTGCGACACGGGTCATTGCGCGCATATCAAAAGAGCGAGACGAGGCGCGCGAAGCTCTGTCCAACGTCACCGTCAGTGGAGGCGGCGGCCAGGGCGATGCGATGCAGGTGGACGGCCAGGGCCTGCCTGAGGAGCTTGCCGCCCTCGTTGACGAAACACAGAAAGAGTGAGTCTTATCCCCCCGAGATTACATACCATGTGAGAGCCCCGTACTAACGCACTACAGGCTGTTTGGCTCGCGACGAAAGAGACCCGTACCCGCGGGCTGGGCCTCTGGAGACGCCATCTCGAACTACGACATTGCCAAGACGACCGACTCGCTATTCCCAGGCAGCAGCTGCATCGCTGTCAACGAGGCCGAGCTGGTCCTATTCGGTGGAGCTGATGGTACCGCGGGTGTCTACTCGCTGGCCCAAGGCAAGGTTCTGGAGACATTCAACGCTGGCAGCGCCGTCACTTCGACAGCATGGTGGGGAGAGCGCGCTCTTATCGGCACTTCGACAGGCACAGTCAAGGTCTTTTCCAACGGCGATGAGGTTGCCCAGATCGGATCACACGCTGGCGCCGTCACATCCATGTCGCTACACCCCAGCGGCAAGATGCTCGCTACCGCCGGCGCCGACAAACGCTACGCAATCCACGAGCTCACCACTTTCAAGACCGTTTCGCAAGTCTACGTCGAAGCCGAAATCACCTGCGTCTCCTTCCACGTCGACGGCATGCTCTTCTTCCTCGGAAGCTCCGACGGCAACATCCGGATATACGATATCAAGACTGGTGCCAAGATGGCTGAACTCGAGACTGGCGCGCCCGTTGCGGATCTGAAGTTCTCCGAGAACGGAACGTGGTTCGCCGTAGTACAGCAGAATTCCTCCAGCGTCGCGATTTGGGATATCCGGAAGCAGGCAGCAATTCACACATTGGAATCTGGCAGCCCAGTCACCAGCTGCAGCTGGGACTACACCGGCACGTTCCTCGCGATTGCCGGCACGGGCAGCGTCTCTGTGCAACAATACACCAAGGCGTCGAAGAGCTGGGCTGAGCTGGTGAGGAAGGCAGCTCCAGCGAAGGACGTCGCCTGGGGTGGCAAGGCCGAGAATGTAGTCGCCCTGAACCCAGAGGGTGGCTTGGTTGTATTGGCAGCAGTTTGAAGTGTTTAGGCTTCAGGGGTGACTTTTGATGGCGTAAAGTTTTTGTGACAGGGCAGGCAGATGTGTACATTGGCTGCTATTTCATCAGTGTGTAGAATCAGGAGCTCGCGGATGCATTTAGGCTGGGGGGTTTTACGACCAAAATTTGAATAGGATACTACCACATGCTGTAAAACACTACGTCACGATCCATCTCGCACATGCAAGAGCAAAACAATGCGCTTTGATGAAGGGGCTGGGTCGCAGAAGACGATAGAAACGGACAGAATAGCGGTCTATAGTCATTGTTCGATTCCAATCGACGGTGAAGGGTGATGGGTGATCTTGGATTTGACGTTCTGGCGTTTGTCATACTGCCCAGATGGATGTTGGAGCGCCACCACAGTTTCGCCGAACTCAGCACCCCCAACGGCACGAGACGGGCCCAACCTTCCCCCTTCGACACTCGCCGGTGCTACTCTCGCCCGCCGCCAACCTCACCACGCACCCCGCAACCATCACCAGCCTGACATCCGGCATGGAAGGCGAAGGACGACCGAGTGGGTTCACGCACAGACAGCAGAAGGTGAGTGCCGTCGGCGGTAGTACCGCCAACATAAACAACAACAGGGTGAAGATTGGCTGACCACGGCTGCTGCAGCGCTCACATGCACAAATGGACGGCGAGCAAGCGTCTGCCTCGCCTGCCTGGAGAAATGGCTCCTTCCCCGACAACCGCGAAGCTCCCCCAACCTACCACGGCCTTCCCTTCGGATACGATTACGACGATAGGCAGAGCCCTGCTAACGACATCTACGACCCACCCGCCCGCTATCATTTCGACCGCCAGCCCACCCCGACCTTCGAGTCTGCATTGCGATCGCACGCCCGCCCGCCCATAGAACGCGCCTCCTCCAGCGCCCAGCACTCGCATACCGCCGGGTTACACCTGCCAAGATTGGGCAACATGGCGTCTTCGGCATCCAGACGGTTCGCGGGCGATGGCTTCGACTACAGGCGGCCGGCTGGCTCGGCAAGTCAACACACAACAGCGTCTGTCGACCTGACGGGGGACGACGAGGACGATGTGGCTATCGACCTGAGCCAGGACGACGACATCATTGATTTGACAGCCGATGATTCGGGCGACGGGGCGAGTCTCAATGGCAACAACCCACGCGAGCAACAACAACAACAACAACAACAACAACAACAGGACAGAGGACAGCAAGAGTCGCATCGCGGTGGCCGTCACCCACGTCGTTTGCCAAGGGGCTTTGACATCATCATTGACCTCGACAACGGCGAGGAGGAGTGGCACCCCGACCCACCAGCGCCGCAACCAAGCTCGCCCGAGATCGAGTTCATTTCGTCGCGCACAATACCCGGTCAGCGCCACCTTCAACCAGTCGACGAGAACGAATCCGATGGCGAGGATGTGCGGTTCATACGGGCGAACGCGTTACCAGAGGCAGAGGCACGGAGACGGCAGAGAAATGAGCAGTTGGACAACGTCATGGATCTCTTTGGAACATTGAACGGACGTTTCACGCACCTCCGAGCCCAAGTCGATCGATTCCACGAGCAGGTCAACCGGACCGCAAACCGCTTCCACGAACCCGTCGCCCCTTCTCGCAGTGCCTCTCGGGGCCGTGCGCCGCACATCCGAGTAGGCGCATTCCAAGCACCCAATTTGGATTTCGATATCATAGGCTTCGACATTGGCCCACGGGTACGCGAAGCACCACCCCCTCCCGCTACCTACGATGCGCCACCGCCAGCCCCGGAAGGCTTCACGAGGAGCCCAGAAGAAGAAGGAGAGGCGCTTATATGTCCCAATTGCGAAGAACAGCTGTGTGTCGGCAGCGACGAGATCAAGAGGCAGGTGTGGATTGTCAAGGGATGCGGTCATGTAAGTCTCAGCTTGTGACGGACGGCACGACGACAAACTAACATGTTAATGCTAGGTTTACTGCGGCGAATGCACAGCCAATCGATCGGCAAAGCGTAGTGCTAAAGGCAAGGAGACGCGCGCAAACACGAACCCTTTCAAGGTCTGCGTGGTCGAGGATTGCGATAAGAACGTGTCCCATAAGAAGAGCATGATTCAGGTATTCTTGTAATCAGCCGGCATCACGCAGTTTCAAGAGATGGATAACTTCAGTGGACCTTCTGTCTCTGCTTTCTCCAGGACATATATCTCGGCTCGCAGTCATGGTTGGGTGGTTTGACGATACCCTTGCTTGCATCTCTCTCTCTCTTATCATATCTAGTCGCATTTTGTTTGCATTTGCATAGCAGGGCGTTTTTTGCATGGATGTCTTTGAATTGAATTTACATAGGGTACTAGTACCTACGAGCGGTCGATTCTCTGAGCATGCTCATTGCCCCCGGTGAAATATAAGAAGAGCGAGATGAGGGATGACCGGTGTAATTAGTATGCGAGGATTTAGATGAATCTGCGATATGGATGATTCTGACTCGAGTGCTTGTGAATATTGATGTGCTACGTGTCCCGAATATCTTGTTCATTGCGATGATGAAGGTCGTGGGCGCTCACGTCGAGATAATCTATGATGATCTCATCCCACGTGGATGGGACCTCGGGAATCCGGCGCCAAGAACAAGGGTCCTCAGGTACGCGAGCAGCGAGCTGCATGCGCAGAAAAGGGCAGCTTGCTGCATACTTCCCTTGGGCCTCAGGCACACAAACCCCGTCATCACCTCACTTGTATCTTCAGGACCGCTTCTTTCATCTTTGCTTCAGATCAATTGCATCATAATTGATCACGAACATGTCCACCAAATCCAAAACATCTCAGGCTGCGCGAGCCGCGGCCCCCAACGACCAGCGACCCACCAAACCATCCGGAGGAGCGAAGAACGCATACCTCATGCTGTACAATGCCGTCTCCGCCGCGCTCTGGGCAGGCGTGCTGTTTCAGACTGTTACTATCGGTGCAAACGAGGTGGTGAATGCACAGAAGGCTGGTGCGTTCTTTGGCAAGGGCGATTGGTTTACGGCCACGAAGAGGGGGTTGGGCAGTGGGAAGGTGTATGGGAATTTGGAGGGGTATACGAGGGGGGTGCAGACGTTGGCGGGGATGGAGGTGTTGCATAGTCTTGTCGGTAAGTCTAGGAGGATGGTGGAGTGAATTCTACTGGCTTCATCAGCCTTGCTAATAACGTCTTCTCGTCCGCGCCCATGGGTGGGTGGGGGAGGCGGAGGGGCGGTGGAGGGGAGGATGGTAGAGCGAATTCGAGTACAGAACCTTGCTAACAGCGTGAATAGGACTTGTCCGCGCTCCCCTTCTAACTACCCTTATGCAAGTCGCATCCCGCTTCCTCCTCGTCCACCTCATCGCCTCGCCCCCCGCCTTCCCCCTCTCGACCCGTCACTCGCCCGCCTACAGCACCATGCTGCTCGCGTGGAGCGTGACAGAAGTAATTCGCTACTCCTACTTCGTCTTTTCCTTATCCGGTGCCGGAGTTCCGAAGCTCTGGACTTGGTTGCGCTACAACACCTTCCTCGTTCTATACCCTCTTGGTATCTCGAGTGAGTGCTGGTTGGTGTACCAGGCTATCCCTTTGGCTAGTGAAAGGAACGAGTTGTTTGGGTACGCGCTTTGGGCTATACTAGCGATCTATGTTCCGGGAAGTTACATTCTCTTCTCGCATATGTTAGCGCAGAGGAGGAAGATTGCTAGGCAGAGTCGAGTAGCGTAAGAGGTGATGGGTGACGATAGAGCTCAGGAGGGAGATGTGCAGGCAGTTAGATGGAGAATATACATATAGGATAAGTCAAGCCTGTGCTTGGAATGCAGCAAAGATACAATGCTACGTGCGATCGATAGCCCAAGTTGAGTGACTCATTCGCCAATTACATCGATCCATCGTTTCATAGATGCTTACTCCTTCCCCCCTTCCTTCGGCCCCGTCTGCGCATTCCTCTCCCCCACATCCAACGCAACCAAGAATCTGCTTACGCAATTATACGCCGCGACCGTCGCCGTAATCTCCACAATCTCCTTCTCGCTAAACCCCACCGTTTTCAACTGCTCAAACACGCTATCTGGCACACGCACGTCTAGTGTCATGGCGTCTGTGTAGGCTAGTACAGCGGATAGCTTGTCGCCCAACGCCGAGAGCGGTTCCCGAGGCTGGGAGTTTAGGACGGCGAGGACTTGGGCTTTTGTGACATCTTGTTGGGGAGTGAGTATGGGTCTGGAAGTGGTGGTAGAGCAGAAGAGGAGAAGAAGAGAAATGGGAATAGAGTGATGGGGGAATAGGCATACCTTCAGCTGATTCTAGAATCGGCGAATGAGACTCCCATTCGTACCATGCTTTGTTTAGAACTGCAACGCGGCAAATGGCTGTTTCGCGGATGGATGTGGGAAGACTGGTTTTTGTGCGGATGGAACCGAGGAATGAGTTCCTGGTCATCTCCGTCAGTTCGCCGCATTTCAAAGTGGATGTTTGATTGGAGTGTGAATGGCTGTGTTATGCGCCCGTCCATCGTGTGTGGACTAGGTAGGATAGCATGACATGGAAGATTGGGGCATGATGCTTTGGAACTTACCATCCGTCTGCGACCGGGGGAGCATGGAGCAATGTTCGATCCAGAGCTATGAGACCCTTCTCGCCTCGCCGTTGTCTGACGCGCTGCTCGACGGCTTTGTCTTCTTCGGACGTGAAGTTCGGCGGGTCGGGGACGTATGGGAGACGCATTGTGAGGTTGGTAAATCGATGGAGTGTTTTTGTAATTGTCAACGTCTCTCGTCGACTTATATAGAAAGTGATTCAGTCTGAGTCAAACGCGTATGCTCCTCTTCGTCGAGATCGAGATGAGTCAAGCTGCGTGCTCGTCACTACATATCCCGAGGTCGGCAATAGAGCTGGAGCCGTCGGAACGCATTCCGAGCACTGAGCTAGCGGGGACGAATCACGACTCTCTTCGCTTACCACTTATCGATAACAAGTCCTTCACCATCCTTTCCCACCTAGTCCAATGACTGTCGCACCCGGCTGTCAAGAACAATACCAACACCAATAAGAAACATGGCGCCTAATTCTAAACTAAACGCAAAGCGTAAGGCGCAAAGAGAAGGAACGCAACCTGCGAAACCTAAAAAGCCCGAAAAGCGTCTGGCGAATGGCGCTAAAGGACCGGGGATTTCTTACATTCCGATTGAACTCCAGCAACTTTTGTTGAACATTTTCCGCAACTCGTTCGCGGAGAGGATGAGCGCGGATATTACGCCGCTGTTGCAGGAAGTCAAGGGCCATCTTTACAAGCGCGACTTTGCGACTGCATTTGGGAAGAAGGAGTATTTGGAGGCGTATGCGGCGAGGTGGAGTCCGAGTCGCGCGTTGGGATATTTGGATCTCATGTGGGAGTTGAGGGATGAGTTGTGGGTTGATGAGGAAGAGGAGGAAGAGGACCAAGAAGGCAAGACAGAGCAAACCAAGCCGAAGAACAGGAAGATTGTGTGTTTGGGTGGTGGAGCGGGCGCGGAAATTGTGACTTTGGGCGGCTTGCAAAAACTGATGTCGACCACGTATTCACAAGATGGAGAAGACGTAGATGGTCCGAGAGGTCATGTGGAGATCACCGCCATCGACATCGCCGACTGGAGTGTGGTCGTGGAGAACCTCGCCAAACAACTCACAGTCCCAGCCGAACTGTCGAAATACGCATCCGCCGCTGCAAGAGCCGCAAACGTTCCACCTCTTAACCCAGAAGACGTCACCGTACGATTCAAGCAGCAAGACGTACTCCAGGCCTCGGCTGAAGAACTAACCGAGCAACTCGCCGACGCAAACCTCGTCACACTCCTCTTCACCCTAAACGAACTATACACAGCCTCACTGCCCCTAACCCAAAAGTTCCTCCTCCTCATGACATCGATACTCCAGCCTGGCGCTCTCCTCCTCGTCGTCGACAGCCCCGGAAGTTACTCATCCGTCACGCTGAACGGTGCTGAGAAGAAGTACCCCATGCAATGGCTCCTCGACCATACACTGTTGAAGCAGGCCAGCGGGAATTTGAATGAGCGCGGCAAGGAAGAGATTGTGCGATGGGAGAAAATCAAAGAGGATGATAGTAGGTGGTATAGGTTGGATGAGAGGATGAGGTATCCGATTGAGCTGGAGAATATGCGTATGCAGGTTCATCTTTATCGGAAGTTGTAAGACGTCGCAATACCATCGACAAAGATACAAAACTACCCTTTCAACCCTTTCTCTTCAGTGGCCCTCACCCATTACCCATCCAGCCGCCATCACGAAGCCGACTCATCCATCAAGTCTGACTCGGGTCACCATTGCCACTCGCCCACGCACTGTTCCTGCGACTTGATTGAGGTACTGTATACCATCGAGCCTGCACGGCGTGGTTGTCAAGACATATTCAACTGTCTCTTCGGAGCTGGTCGCCTTATCCGCGATAGTGGCTGAACCTGCCGCACCAATGTCGCGGATGTTGTGTGTCGATAAGCGGAGCTTGAGAGGTCCGTTCCATTCGTCGCATGGCGTCCACGCATGCGACATGATGGCCAGTCATCATGAAAAGCAATATCACAAACCCCCCCTCCCTCTCACCCACCCCTAACCTCCGTACAACTCCACCCCCTCTCCCTCTCCCTCCCCTGCCCATAAAACTCCTCCGGTCTCCGAACCCCACTCCCCGAATCCACCCTCTCCATCTCCATCCTCATACTCGACCTCGACAACTCCTTCGTCACTAGTATGCTCTTCAAACTATGATTCTCCTGCACACTGCGCAGACTGATATCGCTGCTGCTTCCCGGATTCCCAGGGCTGAGCTTGGGCGTCTCGCGTAACCGCGTCTTTTCGTAGCGGCGGAGCAGAATGGCGATGATGGGGACAAGTAGGAGGAGGCACACGATGGCTATTACGATGCCGATTATTGCGCCGGGGCTGAAGCCGTCGCGGTGGGAGCTGCCGTTGGGGATGGGGATTATGGCTGGTGGGGCTTCGGGAGTGAGGGTCGTGGTGGGGAGGGGGGTTGGTGGCATTGTGTGGGTTTGGTTGTTGGTGTTGTGATGCGTTGATGGGTTCTTTGAGTAAAGATAATTAGAGATGCAAAAGCGTTGTGCTCGTAAGATAGAATAGAATGACGAGACGAATGGCCCAATCGAAGAATTAAGTGTAACGACAGTATTATAGCGAGCGAAAGTCCAGAGTATGACAGAAGAAAAGCGACAGGAACCACGTTCAATAATAACAGAAAGGATATGCCGGGCTGTCAATCAAAATAGTAAGAACATGAGGGGTTTTCGTGCTACGAATAGCACCCCATTACGCCGTATTGTCACCTTCCAGAACATCCTTCAACCATGCCTATCCCGACCAAATCGCAGCACCCGCTGACCACAAAGAAGTGAGAACCCCTTAGCGCACTCCGTGACCCTCGTTGTAGCGATCAGAATTGGCTGCAAGGCAAAGTTAGTGGCGTTTACATCCAGCCAATCACGTCTCCTTGGCTGGCCGAGCGTGAGCCAGAGCCGCACGCCGCCACGCCTTGGATCGCCTTGGACAGCGTGCGTTTGCGCTGAAGGATCAGGGTCTTCGACGAATGGTAGGCGGGAGGGGTGGAGGGGTAGTGATGGCCTTTTGTGAGGCGCATGTGGAGGGACGTGGGGACGCGGTTTCGTTGGACCGGAGGTGCGCGAGGTGAGGCTTGCGCAGGTACGGTGTTGGGGGAATGGGATTGGTGTTTGGTGAGGGGTTGACCGCTTGTGAGGCGCGTTTAATGAGGATGCTGTGTGGACAGGTGTTGTGGGCATGCCTTGGAGATGTCACGAGGGAGTTGTGGGTTGTTGTTGCTAAGGTTCCAGCCGTGCCTGCCCTTTGGTCGTAGGCGAGACGAGACTGCCCCTCGTTTGCACCCATAGCGGGTATATCCTCATCCTCTGACAAGCATCTGCTAGGACACAACATCGCGCGATCATTCTCCACCGTACATCAGATGCATTCTGGACGTGGCTTGGACGAAGCTTCACGTCGCAGTAGCGTTGTCATTCTGACTTGTGTTCGACCGTATGTCTTGCGACGCTATTCTCGCTACCGCAACGCAATCCTCAGTCAACGACGGTATTGCACTGGCAGTACTCTGGCACTCATTATGGAGCAAGGGATCGTACTGTCTTCTCTTCGTTCGTTTTGACGGTTGCGATACATACCCTTCGTTCTGTTCTCGAAGCCAACTTCCACGGCATTACGGAAGAGACTCGTCCCGATGGCTTCCCAGGCAGCAGCTTGTCGCGAGAGAGAATCAGAGAGACAATCTTCCAGGGATTGACGGATATACCAGTACACTCCGAAGAAGTATGACGACGACTTCTGATGGGAGAAGTAGCCGACGCAATCCAAGAGTGCGAGTGCGAGACCGACAGCGAAGCTCAATACGCGTATGCACGGTCCCCTAACCCGTATCCTTTCCGATACACGACTTGTGCCCCCAACCTGACGTTGCCATGCGCTTTGCTATTCAATCGGCGGACACATCATTGGCCAGACTCTTCGTTGAAACAATGGATCTGGGGCTTTTAGATCTCGCGCTTCCGCGGATGGACACCGGAAGCATGGCTGTGCGCCCTTCCCGGCGTGCATCACCTAGGATGCGGGCACTATGTTGCTATCTATCTGGTCTTGGTTGCGAAGCTGGTACCACGGACTAACGATACCTGTTACGCGTATACCATACGGACGAAGGTGTTTACTAATGTTGCTTTTAGAGCCATCAATCCCGGGGTTTTCAAAGAAACATATAAGACATGGCTCCATTCTCGTCAGTGGTGCAACAACAGTCTACACAGCAACTCAATTCACTTCGGGACTATCATCCATTTATCACTGCTATCTTCCATCCCATCATGAAGTTTACTACCGTCTTCGTCGCTTCTACCGCGACACTCGCCTCGGCGAGACCTCAGTACGATGCCGCGCCTGCGGATCCTCATGCTTGGATGGCGGCGTCGCCAAACGACTGTATGTATACATGCTTCTATGTGAAACCAAGGTCTGATGCTGAAATCCGCAGTCCGCGGCCCATGTCCAATGCTTAACACCCTAGCGAACCACGGCTTTCTTCCCCGCGATGGCCGTAACTTTACCCAGGAGAACGTAGTCAAGGGTCTGAAAGATGGTCTGAACTTCAACGCGTCTCTCGGGGCTCTTATGTGGCAGCAAGCAATCATTGCCAATCCCGAGCCAAACGCCACTTTCTTCACGCTCGAACAGCTCAACGTCCACAATGTCCTCGAGCACGACGCCAGCCTGACGCGCACCGATGCGGCATTTGGCAACAACCACGTCTTCAATGAGACGGTATACAACGTATCGAAGCAGTGGTGGACGGAAGAGGTGGTAACAGCCAAGATGCTGGCCAACTCCAAGATCTTCCGTCAGTTAGAGAGCCGAGCAACGAACCCAAACTACACCTTCACCGCTTCTACCGAAGAGTTCAGTCTGGGTGAAGTCGCAGCGCCTATCATCGCCTTTGGCTCTCTAGAGGAGGGTTCTGTCAACCGCACGTTGATGCAGTACTTCTTTGGTGAGTTCATCCAGGATTTGCAAAATTGTCGAGCGCAATGTTAAACCGGAAGCTGACGTTAAAGCAGAGAATGAACGTCTCCCTAATGATTTGGGCTGGACAAAGAAGTCGGACGAGATCACTCTCATGAACATCCTAGCTACGACTAGTATTGTCCGCAACGCGACGAGTCTGCTCACCGGAGGCAACACGGCCGAAGACTCACCTCACGGCAAGCGCGATATTCACGGTGGGATGTTCTAGGATGGCGGTCTGCGAAAAGGTTCAGAATCAACACTACACGTCAGAATGTGTCAGTTTTCAATACGGCGCGTTGAAGGTCTTCCTGCGTACATATACCGCGCTTGTATGTTGCTGATAGCGGTTAGATAGATACTAAACATACTTTACATCTTCCCGATGTGCGCTCTCTCCGCTAGTGGCGCGTCATGCCCGTCATATCGTGAAGTCGGACCCGCAGCGGTTAAGTCCATTGACCTAGTCACGCGTAATACGTGATCCAGTATTTCCACCTTTTCTTTGCGGAGCTTTTCCGAAGCGCGCTCGAAGTGGAGTCGTGGTATACATTTAACTAAGCCTTTAGGTAACTACCACGTCTCGGACTCTTCTCACGGAGTTCGCAACTATGACGCAACCTATACATTCCTCGACTTCATACACCTCGTTCCCACCACTATGCATAGCCGAGGGCTACGTACAAGGAGCATCTGGCAGTGATGAGGAAAGGGTAGCGCGGGTTGTACCGAGCGCTTGCGACAAGGGACTGTCGCCGAGCGTGGGCTCAGTGGACCCGTCAACACCAGATTACAGTCCGGATGAGCGCACCTACCTCATTACCACAGCGCAAGTTCCGTGGCGTGTGACCTCTCCAACCTCATTCTACCGCGACGCACCAGGATCGCTCGAAGGCTGGCCGAGCGGGACGAACCTATGGCCAGCTCGTGGCTCTTCCCTTGCGACACCAGTCATAGAGACGCCATCCACGGTGGTGCGTCGTCGCTCGCCAAGATTCGCCGCCGACGACCAGGACGAAGTTGAACACTTACTTACACCACTCGAGACACGCACAAAGCAGGATGAACGATCGCCAGTCGATGGTCCACAAGAATGGGACTGCCAAGACCCTTATACCTGGCCGATTGTCTATCTACCATTTCACTTGACCCCCAATGCAAGCGTACCGTCGCATATCGATGAGATGCTCATTCACGTACACTTCAAGGGCCTCGGGGCGAGATTGCTGCACAACTTGCTGTACAAAGCGAAGGAAGAGATGGAGACGGAGGAGGAGAAGACAAACATTGGACGTATGGCTTTCGACTTCTGGCCTTTCAACTTCACCCAAGATGGATGGTGGAAGGGTGTTAGTGGGATATCTCCGGAAGATGTCTATGCGTGGAAGGTAACGCGACAACGGGATCAAGGTCGTGGGTTTGGATGCGTGGAATACGACAGTGAATGAGCGTTTTCGCCCTGCCAGCACAAGGTACGTGAGGCCGCCTTTTGTCAATATCGAGTTGTTCAACAGGCATTAAGACTGGCGTTGGGGGCAACACAAGATCTGGACTATCTTGGCGCATTCGGCGGCCGCCATTGCCGCTGGTCGGCCATCTCGATTACTGAACACTATCCATCAACACCACTTTACCACCACACCACCACCTGCGCACGACTCGCAACAGCACGTCTAGAGATCCATGAATCGGATGTATAGACCCTCGGTCGAAGTTCTCCCGGTACTACCTGGCCGCAATAAAAGTCGTCTGCACCAATGTCTGCATAGCGCAAAACCTCTCTCACTTGGCGATGTTTTGAAACTCCGTCTGTGCGATCCATCAATCACATACCCACTCGCATGCGCCACCACGTGCGACATGAATAATTACCGCAAGCGAGTTGTGGGATACCGCAGAGCTTGCTCATTCGGGCGTCTGTGTCACCGCGTCGAGGGTTGCACGAAGCGAAAAGTCGGAAATTTAAGGCATTGGTGGAGCTTCGACGACGGCGCATGCTCATCTATTACATCTTGGCGACTGACACGAGAGCTACAGAGGTACGGACTCATGACATGCGACAAAATCTTGGGTTCGCGAGATGCCACGGAGATTGACTTGGGAGTATATAGAGTCCATAGCCTGGTCGTTGTGGGAATCCAGAATTACCTTGGCCTACCAGTACCTCTTAATACCCATCTTGTATTATCATACTACTTTTCAACATGCGTTCGCTTAGTTTCGCGGCTGCTATCGCTGCACTATCTGCCTCTGCAAATGCCAAAGACATCTATGTTTCGCCAACAGGTCAAGGGATGGGCACCTCTGCCGCACCCTTTGGCTCGATCCAGTCAGCCGTCAACGCTGCTGCACCTGGCGATGTGATCCTTCTGCGCGCTGGTACATACAAGCCCACGACAAACATCCAAATCACCAAGAGCGGCACCAGGATCCAGCCCATCACACTCCGTTCCTTCGAGAAGGAGAAGGTCATCATCGATGGCGAAGGTATGCCCGGTACACCGTATGGCTTAGACGAGTCTCTACCAAACAAGGAGCGCGGTGCCCTTCACATCGAGAAAGCCAACTACTGGAAGTTCTACAACTTGGAGTAAGTGCACCCATCTACCTCCGCACTCCAATGATCCTGCATACTAACAAATTGCCTAGGATCATCAACGGCCCATACGGCGTATACGCCCGCGACGCGTCGCACAACCACTACGAGCTCCTCACCACCCACGACAACTACGAAACCGGTTTCCAACTCCAAGGCGCCTCCTCCAACAACACCGTCGTGTACCTCGACTCGTACCGCAACCGCGACCCGCGTAAGAACGGCGAGTCCGCCGACGGCTTCGCTTGCAAAGAAGGGTCGGGCGAGGGCAACGTCCTGCGCAACGCGCGCTTATGGGAGAACGTCGACGACGGCCTCGACCTCTTCATGTTCGGCTCGTCCGTCACGCTCGAAGAGGTATATGCGTGGGGCAACGGCTTCAACCGGTGGGGCTTCAGCTCTTTCGAGGGAGATGGCAATGGCTTCAAGCTCGGTATCACGGATAACCCGCCCGCCAACCACATTGTGCGCAACTGCATGGCGTTCTCCAACGCGAAGAAGGGGTTCGTTGACAACGGAAACCCCGGTAGCTTGACGGTCGAGCGCAATACCGCGTGGGAGAATGGTGATGTGGGCTTCAACTTCCGCAGCTCGAGTTCGACTATGAAGAATAATATCGCTGTTTCGAATGTGGGTAGCTCGCAGGTTAGCCTCACCGCGTCGGGTATCAAGGCTACGGGTAACTCGTGGCAGTCGGGCAGCTGGTCGGATGCTAGCTTCTTGAGCGTCGATCCTGCTACCTTGAAGAAGGCAAGAGGTGCTGATGGAAGGGTTCCGAAGAGCGACTTCCTCGTGCCGAAGAGCGGTGCTGCTGTTGGTGCGACCACACAGTCTGATGTCTGATCTTTCGTTTGCGCACTAGATGTCGTGCTCGTCGCGATCTTTTTCCCTTCTTGTTAATAGTTATTGCCGTCTGCTTGTACATAGGTTCCTTGCTCAATTAGATTCACTACCTCAAACGCCCCTTGAACGTATATTGTCTCCTTTGGATGGCTCCACCGACATGTTCGATCGACCCAACACCAACTCCCGATTGAACTCCGTTGCACTTCTTGACTTCGTTCTTCCTTCCGGAGTTTGTTAGTCCGAAGCGTCGGTGTCGCTCTGTCCTGATGGTGACAAGTCGTCGTCGGTGTCGGTGTCTTCAGTTGACGACGTCGCCTACGTACGCGGAGATACTGTCTCGAAGCGCCCGCATCTTCCCTTTCAAGACATATCCCTTCGCTGAATGAATGACATGTTTCCGCCACATCTTGTTTGCGTTCATAGAAACCTCGCTCCATTCGACATCTTCGTTCCAGCCCCATCCACGCTCGACCGTTCCATTCCTTTCAAAATCGTAACTACCTTTACACCAAGGGTGAAGGAAAATAACAGTGGAGTGGATACCTCTCTTTTCAGCGTCGTAACAAAATCCGGCTAGCTCATCCAGCCACTCGACTTCCCAATGATTAGGTAGGAGTTCAATGCGGATCGACCGGAGATGGGGACATGCTTTGCTGCTTTCCTCTACAAGACAGTAGAGGGCAGGTATGAGGATGTTTGGGATGATGTCGAGATCATGAGACATAAAACCAGGTATCCAATGGTGTTGCGACCGTGTAAGCCAGAGCTCCTCCAAGGATGCTGGAAGGGCTTTCCAAAACATGTCTTCGATCAGCGCGATCTCATCCGGGTCCTGTACCGTGCATTCGTCATGCGTGTATCCCCAGATCATCTCAGGCGCTACTCGGAGGCGGCGAAGAGACTTGAAAGAAGTGAATGACATGGCGGGCGTCCGTCTATCCAAGAACTCCCACCATGGTTCTTCAAATACCGTACTGCCCTCGATCTCCTCGTAACTGAGTGCGAGAGTCTCCAGGTGGTCTTGATGATCTTCCAGACAACGCATGAGAAAGGGAAGCTCCGCCGAGCGCGACGTGAAAGGACCTGCCCTCTCGTACAGGAAAGCTTTGAGTTTTCCAGGTACAGTCGCTTCGATCAAGTCTCGCAACGTATGCGTTGCCAGCGAGGAGGCTCTGAGCTCGATGTATTGCACGCCACAGGATCGCAGTCCTAGCACGGCGAACGGATTTCTCTCCATCATATTGGTATTCACATCGTCATCCCCAAACCTGAATGCGTACATGGAGCGAAGATTCGGCAAGTGGAAGAATGATGCCAGGTATTCAACGTCGCCGGCATCAGAATCTCTGATGAACACATCGACAGGCTTTTGTAATGGGGCGGTTGGAGACGAGGAAGATCCCGTCGAATTGAGTGACGCCGCTTTCTTAGCCTCAATGCGCCCGGCAGACCCCTTGATCATCTCGCAAAAGAGCTTATGGTCACGAAACACTCCGAATTCCAAGTCTAATCTCTCCAGGTTTGGGAGATTCGCGACGAGCAGTGTGATAATGACGTCCGCATCAGCTGCATACAACTTGATGTACATTCTCAGCGCCTTGGTTTCATCTTCGTAGTATTCCCGACATATTCGCTCTAGCGGTTGCTCGGTTTCGGGAGTTTCGATTCTTGGCCATGGCTTCACCTTGAGATTGTCAAGGCGAGGCGCGCTCTCACAACCTCCCCAACCATCTGGAAGGGCGATGGACTTCACGAGCGCAGCAAACGACGGATCGGCGAAAAAGCGGTGCGCAAGTGGGCGGAGGTGTCTCAGAGCTCCCTCTCCGCCTATGTCTGAGCATAACGTGATGTTCGCGTACAGATGAGGAGTTGCGATGCGGTTGAACTGCTTTGACACGCGGCATAAGTTTGCTAGAGTGCGTCGGCCGCATAGACTGACGATGATATCGACGAGCTCTTCGGATATGTTGTCGACAGGGTGCCACATCGTGAGACGTTGCGATGCGTACTGTGTGCGGTGTGACGAGGGAGGGTGGCCTCGGCTTTCACCCCTGGGGCTAGCCTATCGATAAGGCGCGTCCTCCGATAAGCAACGCGGCGCAGTCGTCAGCATAAGCAAACACTATCTGCACCTCGTTCCATCACGATGCGCATACACATACACGACTCACTACGCCATGTCTGAATCTGCAGCCTGGCCGCCCGCGAAAGGGCTCACCACCAAGATCGTCCCGCGAAAGGACGCCATCCTCACCATCGCCTACTCGACGGCAGTGCACGCGCCGGCGCCGCTCGTATTCGACACCCTTCTCCGCGCCAAAGACTACAAAGCATGGAACACGTGGGTACCCGTTGCGGAGATCCAGTCGCCCGGGAACGATCTCGATTCGACTAGTCAAGAGCGTATGAGCATCGGCTGCTCGATGGAGTTCCATGTCATCATGAACGCGGATAAGCCAAACGACATTACAAAGACACAGCTGAAGGTCGTCGACATCAGCACGCCATCCGCGCCGACATCGTACCTCACGCCCGACCTCCTCGAAGACCCCTCGTTTACGGCCGATCTCAGCAAGGTATACAGGGTGAGTTGGACGGGCAACGGCGGCATGTACGGCTTTGCGCCCAAGCTGGAGCGCTTCCACGAGGTCATTGTCACCGGAGAGAACGAGTGCGAGGTCAGAACCTGGGAGATTATGACAGGCATGCTGTCACGGGTTGTCAAGCTGATGATGGAGGACACGTTGAAGGGCAAGGTCGCCCTCTGGTGCGAGGATCTGAAGCGGTATTGTGAGCAACAACACAGCGGAGGCGCGGCGGCTTGAAAGTACCTAGGTAGCCTGTTCCGCTTTATACCCACGAGACACCTATGCTCATGTGATAGGAGAGTGAAATCCAGTAGGCGAGCGAACGTAGGCCATAACAGTCCGAAGCGACACCACCCTCCGATCCACCTGTCCGCTGTTCTCATGATATGAGCTGCTGTCGCCAGCGAGCAACCCCTCC